TATATATCAACTAAATTTTTATTATCCGTATTTGCATAATAGAGCGTCAAATTATTTTATTTTCATTGGTGCACAGTTGTTGGAAATTTTATGGCTCGCCGAACGACGCGCCTGTTATTAGCAAAGGGGTTAATGTTATTCAATTCGCATTTCCGTTCGTTTAACATGAGCCTGTTTTACTGATTTAATTGTCAGATAATCGACGGGCATGCGATTAAACTGTTCGCTAAACAACGCTAACAACATCAAATAAAATTCGCATTTATGCGTCTATTGTTTACTGCAGGTCAATTATAAAGCGCGAATGTCTCTCAAAATAAACACGCGAGAGAACCGTCGAAGATGGAAGTGACTTTATTGCGTCTGACTGCACTTTCATTCATTTTCGTCGGAATGTTCATCTTTAGTGCCCTAATTTCTGCCATTTGCGAAGCTACGAGGGATTCAGTATTCGTCGAAGCTCAAGCTGCACCGGAACGCGATTATTCACGCTTACCGGTCGAAGAGAAATGTCGTTCCTTCCTTGAAGCGCGTTACTTGAAGATGTAGTTGCGCAGTAGTTGCGGCCGAAATCGTTTCTCGAATGACGCAAAGCCGTTCGTCTAAAAGCGGGATAATCCTATTCTCGTCGTAGGCTTCAAACGAGACAGGAATTTACATATTTTCTAACCGGACCATGACGGAATCGTGAGAGACGTATTTATTTCAGCCGATTTGCATCCGGCATCCACGCCCAACGAAACGTAAAGATTACACACTTGCGTGAAAGAAATATCTGCGCGTCCTGTTCTCGACGCGAATTTATAACGTCGGCTTCTTTATCATTTTTAACACGTCAAGACAAGATGGTACTGAACTCATTTTACAAAAGCAGCGTAAAACGTTTTGAACATAATAACCTTGGCGAGAGAGAGGAGGGAGGAGAGCTGAGAAACGAAAAATGATTACACTATAAGCGTTTTACGGTTAATGATACTTCGACAGTGTAACTTTGCGAATTTATCTTCCCAAGTAACTCGCGGAGAAAGGTAAATGTACATAAAATATTCTCGCTCCTCTCGCATAAATTTTGGTGACGTACAACATGTAACACCTTATATTGTTATATACCGATGATAATGCTTTTCTTCATATTGCTGGACGAATCTCCAACATCATATATTCATTCGACTGTTCGCATTCACCGGACCGTCGCGTCGACCGGCGGGCACGCGAAATAATTTAGTTCGAATGTACAATCGATCGACGACCAGGTACCGGTAGCGATCGTGTTCGACGGGAACCGCCAACTATAAGTGCTATGTAATAAAAGAAGCAATAAACAAGTAGTTATATCTGTGCCTGTACCGCAGTTCTCACTCGTCGATAATCTAATGCAAAATGCAGCTCGAATTTTAGTCCGCATCTGCAGCTGTGGCCTCGGTCCATCTCCGATAAAATATTTCTCTCATATTTATAATGTCCACTCAGTCGCGATCGTATAATAAATCTTTAAATTATTACTGATTTGAAAACGAGGAATGAGAACGTTATAAGCGCAAAAATTGAAAATGCTAATGATTATATTAATACATCAATATGTGCGTGCACGAGACGTACAAATGTTGTGATTACAATAATTACATTAATAAAGTAACGGTGCGTCATTTAATTATACGCTATTTGTGATAAAATATGAATATAAAATTATACAAAGTATTTAATTCAATTTTATCAATCGTGTGATATTTCATTTTCATATTCTCGTTATATTGATAAATTTCGCTTTGCAATCATTTCAAAGTCTCTTTCCTTTATTTTACACATGAGAGAACAAAGTGTCGTTTATATAAATACTTTTCTCTAATTGCCTTTTCAACTTACGTAATAATAATATCTATTATGGAAAAGAAATATTTTAGAATTTTATGAAATGTGCATTAGAAAAAAAGTCTGATTGCATAAGAATTCTGATTGAAAATGGACAAATCAAAAATTTCTGGATAAATTTATTACAATTCTAATTGAGATAATCAGAATACTAATTGATATAATCAAAATCTTCTTGTTAATTCATTTTCAACTAGAAATTTTTTTCAGTATAAAATAAACTGTATTGTTGAACGTACGTAGTGTTGAACGTGTGTAATTTAATAAAAAACAAGATATCTTTCGGTTAATTGCTTGTCTCTCACTTAATGTAGCCGTTAAAAAATTCGGCGCGCAAATTAATGACTGCTCGATATTTCATTTAAAACAGTATTTAATTAACGCCGTTGACGTCGTTCCACTTTTTAAATGTCGCGATACTTGTTCTTGATGCATTTCGCGCGAAATGGAGGAACAGCACGTTAAGTGAATTTCCATCCTTCGCATTCAACGCGTTCCTTAATGGAGAGAAGCATCAGTGATTGCCGATGCGCGTTTATTGCATTTTTACTCATCTCAAATTGTCTCTTCAGTTTTCTGGTGATACAGCGGAGTAATAAAACGCATAATGAAACGCGTTTTGGAAGGACCTTCATAAATCGCTACTTCTGTGAATTGCTTTTATGAGCATCGTAAAATATCAGCAAATAACATCTTTTCTATGCACACATATATGTATCGTATACTACATAGCTTTAAAATTTTATTCTAAAAATTTATATCTCTCAATTAAAAAATATATTTACATTGTCAGTGTTAAGATAAGAATGGAAGCTGAAGAACTTAAATAATAAAGAGACTGAAAATGTCCCGAAAATATTATCGATTTATCAATCGCATTTTACCAGTGCAGCACTTTCGGGACAATTTTATCGTTTGTCTGCGAGAAACGACCAGATGGCCAGATCTTAACGTCACGTTCATTCTCTTCTTACAGTGGTCGACTGCGTGGTGAGCGAATGGAGTCCATGGACTCCTTGCGATAACGGATGCGGAAGTGGCACTCAAAGGCGCAGCCGAGTGATCGAGATCGAGGAAAAGAATGGCGGAAAGCACTGTCCGCACTTGGACCAGGAGAGGACATGCCGCAGCTTCCAAAAATGTCACGCTGGAATTCGCTCGCAGTCACATGTTAAAAGTGAGCATTGATTATTATCTTAAGGCGATATACGTCGCATTCTACTTTCGGAATACGAGGTCTAATAACAAAATAATTAGACTTTTTGAATTACTCGGCAACGTCCTAGCGACTTGCGATTTGCAGCACTATAATTGTTATAACTTCCGAGTCCTGATTTTTTAAAAATTGTTTAAATCTCGTTTAGTTTCAGAGTTATTGCTATTTGAGTGCAAAATGTGTTTTAGCGTTTGTGTCGATTTTCGCCTCGAAAATGAATTTTTACAATTTTTTTTTTGCCTCAAAGTTAAACAATCAACTGTCAGTACTACAATGGCGTTTTGAAAAGATTGCGCGAAAAAAAATCGCAAAAAGAAACCACAGTTGTGGCGAGTTTCAATTCATGGTTCCTTCATCATGACAATGCGCCTGCCCACTCAGCCTTGTGAATTCGCAAGTTTTGTGCCAAAAATCAGATGACTGTCCTCCCTTACTCCTTGCGACTTTTTCTTATTCCCAAAATTAAAATCAGTTCGCAAAATAAAAATTCAGTTCGAATCGAAATCGCCACGAACACTAAAACACGTTGCAATCAAATAGCAATAACTCTGAAAATAACGAGATGTAAACAATTTAAAAATTCCAGTTACTCGGAAGATTATAACGATTGTAGTGCTGCAAACTACGCGTTCGCTAGGATGTTCCATTGCCGAGTAATTCAAAAAGTCTGCTATTTTTTGATCAGACCTCATATTTTCGAAGAACAAGAATTAATCTTTAACTTGAAAGTGTTTGATTTTTTTTTTTTTTTTACGTAAATGATCATCAGTTTTTTACACTACAATTAAAATCACTAACAACATTGTATATACTATTTTAATTGTTTTTCAATTATTTTTATTTTATTAATATTTAAGAACATTATGGATTATAGACTTAATTATAATTTTCTAAAACAAATAAGTAAAAACAAATAAATATTAAATATAGTAAACATTAAATATAACAACTTATATTATAATAACTTATATTATATTATAACAATATATATATATTATAACAATATATATATATTTAAAGAAATAATGATTTTATCAATACTTTTCTATTGTTAGTTTTCAATAAAATTGCGTATTTAAATGTTTGTAAAGAATAATTGTTAAAAGAGAAAAAAGATTAAATAATATCTGTAAAGAGCAAAGTTTTACAATTCACATTTTTTTCACCGCTGGGATATAAAAACACTCCAAATGATTATTCCCAGGTTAATTAGACTCATTGAATTTGCACAATGTAATTAGTCTCTCAAATGAGATCACATTTTTTACTCTTATTTCATAAACAAATACAAACAACCTAAAATAATTCAACAAACAATAATTCTTCTTTCAATAATTATTACGACTTGCGATAATAATCGCGTGATTGTAATTGAAGATAATCGCGTGATTATAATTGAAGATTAAATTATATTGGAGAAAATTGAGATGTAAGAAGAAATATTAATTCCTTCTATATATTCTTTCTTGAATTCTTAGTTTCTGTAAAAATTATAATGGTCTGACATTTCTCATGTCTAAAGCGTTTTCCATGTCTAAAGAATGAAAAGATCCGGATTATCTTCGATTGTATCTAGCGCGATGCGAAATTCTTGACGTCTGTCTACCGCCGTTGTTCGATCCTAGGCGATTTCCTTTCATTTGCCATAGGTGTGACGCTTCTTGAGATTTTTCCGAGCGACGGCAACAGTACGGATGTAAGGATCAAGGATAGGATCGTCGATAAAAGGTAGGTCAAGTCTCCGTGCTTCGGGTTCTTGCGAAATGCGATTTGCCACATGTTCCCAATTCGTGCTGCAGAAACAATGTCTTTCCCATTTTCTCTGATTGCCAGCACAAAAGTAGATAAAACGACAGATTTGTGGGAAAATTAAAGCGCAAATTTGTTTATTATTATAAATTAAACGGTCATTGATTGACTATTTCCATTTTTATATTAATATTAGGTTTCTTATGTAAAAGATATGATTCTGAAACTTTTTGACTTTTTAATAATTATGTTCTTTATATTAATAAAATATTTAGTTTTTAAAATTATTTTTTCATTTATAGTAAAATAATCACTAAAATAGTCAGACATTATTATTATGGCAATATTTGTTTGGTCATTTAATGATTAAGAAACGTTAGTATTTTTAGAATTAAATTTCTTTCGCGTTTCGAACATTATTAAAACTTATCATTTATTGATGAAGAAATCCTTTAAAAGTCCTTCGATTTAATTAAATGATGACTAGACAAGTACTCGATAGGAGTGGATAAATGACACTATGCGATAAAATTCTATATGACTTACTGCAGAATACGTTGCCGTTAATGCTTTTAACGCACTTATCCATTTTTCTATGCCGTGTATGCACCAATGAATGACACAATTAATAATTTTCAATCGCATTTTGTATGCATTATTAATAGTGCGAAGCGTTCGTGCATAACTAACAAGTTGATGCCCTTAATTTTCAAAGTTCATTATCCTTTCGCGCGATCAAGCATTACGATTCAATTCCATTAAAAGCCTTCTCTGCTTGACGAGGAATACCTCCCATGGGATACATTTTTAATCCCGCGCCGTTCTATAACCAAGGTAGAATCGCCGATGTGTCAAGTATCTAATTTGACACGTGCTCCGACCTGTTACAAAACACGTAGCAAACATCGCATGGCAGTATCGAGATTCCCCTGTGACGTTATGTCGAGCGGGTAAAGCAAACTATACAAGCCGCCAGCGAGCAATGGAGCCCCTTTGGGTTCCATCATATAGTGTGTGCAATGTGTGATGCGGTGGCTAACGAGAAAACATACTGGGGGAACATACACGTTTTGTTCTAGGCTTTGCGATATTTAATATAAAAACCGATATTACACACGTTTCAGAGGCAGCTGCATTCCTTTCACCATTACGTGGAGTTCACGAGGTTGTGGCAAGTTTTTGGAATTGCTCTCGCAAGGTTCGTATCTAATAATAATAGCCGAGTCTAATTTTAATTGGAAATAGTTTTATTTAATAGAACGCTATTTTTATTATCGAGGTCGAAAATCTAAATATGAATCCAGAATGAATATCGAATATCGACCTTCCTCTTCCTCTTGATTCTAGATTTCTAAAATAGTTAAAATTAGTTTCTTTCTTTGAAGATTAAGACTGCTATTTATAATTTGTTCTTGAATAATATTTAAGATATTAATATGGTTCTCTGATTGATTTTTTTTTACATCTTAAGATTGTAGACATATATTGTATTTAAGATAGTTTCAAATATAAGTACTGTTTATGAATATTAAATAAGAATTTATCATTCGACAGATACTTTCAATTTCTTTATATAATAAGTTCTCAGATTTGTTTAAAAACTCATAAAACACAAACCATTTATATTTAACTAAGTAAAATAAGATATCGTTTGAACTTAAATTGTAATGTCTTTATCATTTATAATATTTGGCATATTTTAAAATTTTTCATAATTTGCTTCTTAAAATGTTAGAGTAAATCAGAAACTTTGAGCTACATTTTCATGTTAAGAATGAATAAGATGCTTAGTAAAACACTACGCGGAGCTTATAAAAACAGAGTATATATTGCAACGAAGAAAAAAAACAACGGCGGATGCTCCGAATACCAGCCATTCTTTTTCGCGGTTAAGTCCTTGCCCCGCGCGTTCAAGCTTTTTGTAACCATAATACTTCGAAGAGACAATAGACTTGTCTTCTTGCGAAAAACGTTTCACATCTCCGCGGCGGTATGTAAAACTCGGGATTACGCTTCGAGCGAAAAATTATCGCTTCGCAAAAGTCTTCTCTCTTAGCCATCTGACATGATAAAAGCAAGATTCCTTAGTCCACGTGCCCGGCGAGTTTCAAAAAACTTGCAGTATTAATTTTAACTTTTTGATATTCTCATTTATATTGCATGAAACAGAAAACTCGAGAAATCATACATTTTTACGCTAATAAATACGTTATTAAAAAGATTATTCTCTTTTAAGACCAAGATATAACTTCAAACAATTTGAAATGATAGAAAAGGCTAACAGTCAACGCTGTTTAATATTTACTATATTGCTAATATTTACTAATTTTTAAAAATTAAAGTACATAATTAAACGAACGTTTTATTCTACCACTAGGACATTTCCAATGTGTTAGTCAAATATATACATAATAATCAATTCTACCTTACAATACATTTTTATAATTTAAATAATCGAAACAATAACTGTCGTGTAAAGTTATGCGGTGAAACAATTACTTCTTTCTTCTAATTCAATAATTTCGAAACGCAATCTGTAGATATTATTTTCTTTGTTGTTCTTTATTTAAAAATATATCACATTCAGTCGGATAGCCAATTGCAATAGCATGATGGAAAGTTTCAATCTCATAAATGTCGTATAAACCTCCAAAAGTAAATCGATCTAGATCGAGACTCATGCTTCTTTGAAAATTGTCCATTACAATCA